ATTGTTAGAAATTTCGTTTGTACCTGCCGGTTCTCCGAGAAAACATGCACGTTCTTCGTCCTTCTCTTCGGATTTTGTGATTGTGCTTGATCAAGACTTTCTTGTTACAAGGTTAATGGCTGAGTCCTACACAAACTACCATTTTTCATTTTCATGCTCGCAGGTAATTCTCGAATTGTCACGATCTTCGATCCTGCGCAGGTGCACCACAAACCACAACACTCATGCCGTTTTGCTTTTTCGTTTATTCTGCAGGGAGGTTTTTCTGCGAAGATGGTTGATTGATGAAGAACATCGCCTACTATACCACATGGTCGAAGGTGAACCTGGGGACCCTCTATGTTGGGTTTGTTGGTTGTATGTTGGGTTTTTGACCGAACGTTCCATCTGCTTTTGAATGAGAATGCTACTGCTTATTGCTCATTAGTCGCTCAATTCTTACCAAAGTGTCTAATATCACCATCAAGGTTGGTTGATTCGTAAGGAGCTTTTTTTCTAAGAGCACACCGGCGCAGTTTGTCGACGGGGGGGGGCATTTTGCTTTCCATAGATGTGTCGACCCATCTAGGCAGCCGTTTCTCGAGTTGACACGTTTTAGGATAGTGGCTAGACGATCTTACTTCAGCTTCACAAGAGTTCACAAGTTTTACCAGAGTGAGATTTGTAAACCGGAACTAGGGAAGCAATGATAATACAAAATGCCCCCCCGTCGACAAACAGCGCCGAGCACACCATCTATTGCTTATGTATCACCAACCGACCAATATTCAGCCAGTTCGTGGATATACGTCGACGTGACTGACAATCGTTTGATTTCCGGTATTCCTGGGATTCTCGCCATCGGTTCTTTTCTCGTTTTCAATGTGTTATATCTCATCGCGTTCTTCTGTTTCACATCTGGTCTCCATGCTCTCTACTCTTCTGTATTGCAACAGACCTGCTCTATATTTGTACAGGAACAGATATTCCTGTTCATATTCGTTGCATGCAAGCTGTGCGATGAAACTGCTTGAGATTGTTTTTCCTTGTAGGACTGGATTCACGATAAAAGCGGCATAGTTCATTTATTCGATGAATGGTGTTACACATACATTCACATAGTTACTTTATGGACCGCTGGAGGGCATGCGATCGCCCATCCGTCGGCAGCGCAATGAGCTTCATTGAGTTTGGCCACCCGCTTCTCCATCTGTCCTCGTTATGATTTGTGAAAATATCCATCTGTTTCTGATTTGGACTCACCACGTCACTTATTGGCGAGAAACGCACTAGAACGAACTACTATATGCTCAAATTGTGTACCAATAGCACATGTTACAGAGGGAGGGTGTGTATTGGCCCTTCTCACATAGAACATGCTTAGGTTAATACCAGTTCGTTTCAGGGTGGGCCACTGCCCGAGGTGAGCAGTTGAGAAAGAAAATCGAACAGCGCCCATCTCGCGAACGTCTCCTCAATCAGCACATTTTGCTATCTGGTGAGTAATTCCAGGAGACTTCACTCATCATTCTGGCGGCTTTACAGAAGCGTAGTCTTCTGAAAACGTTTTCATATTAGTGCTTTCTGATCATATTCAAGGTGAACGGGTATCGGTATGAGAGCAGGGAGAGGCCGGCAGAAGGCATTTCGAGAGACCAAGGAAGCCAGCAGGGTAGTACGTGCTTTTTTACTGAACTGCTTGAACTACTCAAAAGAGGTGCAGTGAAGTACATACATCCGAGCTGCCGCGTGGGCCACAAAAGGGCCATACCAGGGAGCGGGCGAGTCGCATCAGGGCGCAATTCGCAAAGTGGTAATGTTGCAGTGTAGCGTGTCAAGTCATCTGGCTAGGAATCCCTTGGTTAGCTTGCGTTTAATACATCGACTTAGAATCACCGTGACTAATAAACACAGAAGCAATTACAACGATGAGTTGTTGCTACCTGAAAGGAAGATTCTATGGAAGCACAGTGCTATGAAATTTCCAGTTCATCAAAAAGGGGTGCGGGGTGCCGCTACGCTGAAACTGCGCTCTTAAACAGAAAACTACTTGTGCACACCCGCGTATGTAGTGTGTCGTTGTCCCGCTACTGCCTCTCAAAGACACGCCCCGCGTTGTGAAAGCAGAGTTGTGCGGCTCAAATACTGATAAAGTGCTCCAGTAATCGTACCATATAATCGGTTATGTCCGTATATATTATACGATATATGTGTGTGTGTGTGTGTGTGTGTGTGTGTGTGTGTGTGTGTGTGTGTGTGTGTGTGTGTGTGTGTGTGTGTGTGTGTGTGTGTGTGTGTGTGTCTGTCACGAAATTCATAGCACCTGAAGAAGAACTTGGAAGGGGTCGGGTCATCAAAAGGGATGGGTAGAGCATGGAACTCCAGGGGGGGAGGAGTCAAAAAAACTCACTTCGGCCGAGTCACATATCAGCGAAGTTTTCGCAGCCCAGACAGAGGAAGTGGATACGAGTACCAGGGCGGAAGATACCCAAGATGTTCCTCGATAAGCAGGAGCAGGCTGCCGCCCATCACCTTCATGTACACCAAAATATGAAGTCATCTCCAATAACCAGCCCCCAACCAGCCTCCAACAACGAACAGACAACATCGCTTCAGTCTAGGATATCATCTTCACCGCCAAGGCGCAAGTTGGTGGTATGGACCGGAAGTTCCTGGAATGTGAAGACCGATATTTTCTTCGTGGACCCCGGACTGAAGGTGAGCGCTGATTACATCGACCAACTCGTGGAGAATATCCTGCCATGTCATCGTCTGTACCGATCTCTAAGAAGGTACTTCTTGGAGACTTCGTACTGCTACAGGATTGGGTGCCTCCACACGGAATCGAAGGGCGTTGGAAAAACTTTCGCCTACTTGGAATGGAAGGACGTTGAGTACCTGAAGAAGACGGAATATCTAAGTGTGTCACCTGACCTGAACCCCTCAATTACCCGGTTCGGGCGGAGCTCAACAGGGTGGTCTACAGTGGCGGAGAAATCAACGATCTCGCAGGTACCGAATCACGGTCGCGTGGCAGAATCTCTCGATGGCGCTCGTCCAGAAGGCTGTGGCGGAGTATCATGATAGTATACAATATGCTGTTGAATATGGTGGTGGAAATGTCCCATCAGAATTTAATTAAGTGTAACTTATAGCGCCCTGAAAGTCAAGGAAGAAAAGTGACTTTTTTTGCCCCCCCCTCCCTCTATATGTGAATAGCATCCGTGACCCAAAATTCGGTAATTTGGCTACAAAGCAGCTGGAGACGGGAAAAGTAGAATGAGGTCAGCATTGAGTTGGCAGAGCAAATATCAGACGTGCTGAGGCCCGCCCACAATGGACGGAACGCTCTTCCAAATACCAGGTATCGGTTGAAAAATGTCGTAGTACGGTTCCAGAGCACTACAGACGGCGCAAAAAAAGTGGATTATGGCCCCAAGTGATCACACGTTGAGATGTGCGAGGCACTTTTGTTGTGGGCGGAGCGTGCGATAAGGTGGGTGGAGCCAAATCAAAAAGATTCGTAAACGCTTCCAAGGAACCAAAGCACTCCAGAGACCGGGAAGAAGTGAATTGAGATTACCAAGAGGTCATCGGCTCACAAGTGTGAGGCACACTCGCTGTGGGCGGAGCGTGCGGCGAGGTGGGCGGAGCTAACTTAAAAAATTCGCCAAACGCTTCCAGAGCACTCCAGACACTCCCGACATCCTCTGTGATACGGTCCGGCTATACGGGGCGTGGCGCCCCTACCTGCTGTATTATCAATATGCTCGAATATTATCCGGCTTTTCTCTCATCTGTCCAAGTAATCAACGCTCCTTACCAGATAGTGTTGAAAGTAGCATGTATGCTGCTATTGGTCAAAGAATGTTGACCATCTGTTCCGATAAAAGAAAAGCCGGATACTATGTGGCTGTTCAAATGTGTGGAAAAGGATAAGCGCGGCAACCGCGCCTGCCCCGGCGAAGCTCGCCGTATCTTAGAAGGAACCGAGCCGGCGCTAGCAGGCTGGTGAAGAGAAGAGCTAGAAAAAAATCGTCGAAAATGCTCTATATGCAACCCCTGGCGAACTGAGTTAGTTTTTGCATAAGGCGAAGAGAGAGCGTCTAGTGGAGTTCTCATCTGTTGGATCCGTAATCAGCTCTCTTCTCACCATTCGAAATGGCGAGTGTTAAGGTTTCTAGGTGGTGCGGAACAACTGCACCACCTAGCATACATTGGAAATGAAAGTTAGGTGTAGCGTTGGGCAATGGGCGTAAGGATAGCTTCCTCGCGAGCGAGTCGCGCCTTTCTCACGTTTTTTGGAGCTGCGAATGTGGTACATCTTTCGTGCTTGCCATAAAGGTACCTTGTCAAAGGAAGCGTCTGAAATTCATATGAACTTAGAGTGCCTCGAACGGTGCAGGATACGATGGGAATAACGATGATGACTGTATCCAATATGAGACAGGAGGCGCTAAGTGACGCATAAGTAAACGGCAAGCTAGAAAAACGTGGAAACCGCCTATGTAAAATCCCTCATGTTTCCAGGCATTGCACGAGCACAATGCAGAAAGAGTGCGTCGAGATATTGCTTGTTGGTGTCAACAGCGATATCCGTTTACCCTACCACGTCACTTTTACCATTAAAATCTTTACCATTTCCTGACTTTTCAAAATTTATTGCGATGAATAATGGGCGGAGAGCTCGCGCCTATAGTATAGGTATTCCACGTCACAAGCTGCTTGCCCTTCCTCGTAACGAAAGCACTGTCTGCTCCACTTGGCTGTCGAGTTGCGCGCATTATGCCGGTAAGGATGTCCGCTCATTAGGTAATTGTAACTGTTGCCTCTAACCCAATCAAGAGAGTTGGGGACTGGACAGATATCTGCGAGCGTAACCTGTTTTTCTACAAGCATTCAGTTGATAGGATTCAGTGCTTGGTTAGCAGTAGGAGTCTCCAATCATGTTCCGTTTCATATTTCTAAAACAGCGAATTCTCTTTCCAGATGGCCGTGTAGCGCCGTTGATAGAGCAGAGGGCGCGTCTACTACGACAAGATCGCATACGTCAAAATCTTAGTCGAAAACTAGAGGCGCGGCCCGGTCCACTAGAGCTTGTGACTCGGAAAATCCTCCAAGCAGACGCAGAACTGGAGCAGGCTATCGAAGGTGAACCATTTCTATTATAAAAATTCACTTTATGATGAGGTTTTTGTTTCATCTAGACCACGTAGGTATTCATGCTAGGACGTGTGAGGGGGCGCAGAGTGGAGCGCTGCCAAGACGGCCATCTTTTCCACCAGTGATCTCGTCCTGGGGTTGCAATAATTGGTTTAAAGGGTTGCCCCGGCTAAGCTACAATCCGCGCACCTTCACACGCTCTCGTTTGCAGGTGTGCCACAGTGCCGAATCGCTGGAAGATTGTTTAGATTTCCATGGAAAAAAACGTGCTAGAAATTGACGCAGAACATTGATATGAACCTCCTGGTGGTCATTCCACCACTATAGCTCGAACGATCATGTAAAGGCTACTCGTTGTTTGAACTCGAGCGATCTTTTTTGCTCGATGTGAATAAAATTTGCTGTTACATAGGTTTTTACCTGAAGGCAGCGTGGCCAACGATTCGCTCTAGAAGAAGGTTGACATCTTCGAGGCGAATCAGATGTTTGCTGAGCGCGAAACCGCCTAGTTCTTGATCACTCGTGGCGAGTGTAGTGCGGACTGCAGGCCGTCTTATGTCGAGCAATCCATCAGGGCAACCTGAAAAACACGGCGAGGGGGGGGGCAGCACCCTACCCTGCCGCCTGCAATAGTGATCTTCCTTTTGCCAAGGCTCAGCCGTAGCAGAAAAAGAGATCATTATCTAGGTAATGAAATACTGGAATTACTGATCTTCAATTTTTTTCCAATTGCTGATATGTGCTGGTCGAATTCCATCCAATTTTTTGTTTTTATTGGGTTTTCCATGAGAAGTCAGCAGTCAGCGCAGGGAGTTAAAGAGGTCATGCCATAGGCAAACGACAGGAGGTGCAGCGTATTCTCATCCTGCTCTACAGTACTCCTCCACAGTTCTCCTACCGTCACCGCTCCAGCTAAATCCGTCCCCCTAGAATCAACATTCCTAGTTACGAAAGGAAATTCTTGATACCCGTAAATGTGGTTGACATTGGTTTTTGAAATAGGCCATAATTTTGCTTTGAACCCAATATCGTGAGGATATAGTTGATATCGTCGCACTCCTGGGGTCGTGTCACGAGAAGTAGAGTAACACGCGGCTATGTTGAGCACCAATAGTATTCTGGTAGAAAACAAGAAACCTCGGGTGGACTCATTCCAAGCCTCTTGGTACTGCCCCTGCGACGGTATCAACCGTAACTGAACTTACATTAGACAGAACGAGATGTATAACAACACCAACGAAACTATTTCTTGTTCTCTTTCTCGATGTCGCTAAAACTATAAATTGCAACTAGTCGCACAGCTACGTGACATTTTCAGGTCAACTGCCTCATTACCTATTGCCAACTCCATTCTTACATAGGTTTTCCCATGAGTCTTGTTCGTGACGGTTTTGTTGTAGAATGCGTGAAACTAGCGAACGAAGGGGATAAAAGTTCTGGACCACAGACATTATACTGATTAATAACGTCTATCCAATGCTATATTGTGAATTTGTTGAATTTGTTATTTTCAGAGGGCCGCATCCTGTTTCAACCAACAAGCGACCACATCGAAGAGGAAGAGAGCGAAATGCCTAGTCCGTTGTCAACAGGTCTTTGCATTTCCTTTTCTGTCGTATGGTTTTGAGAAAAGTGTAAGAAGCCTTAGTGGGACTCATGCTCAAGCCACATTTTAGCACTTGCGTGTATGAACAGCTGCATTAACTACGAAGGTAATCTGCTGATTATGTACGTCAAGATCAATACTCCCCATACCTCGGTTTTTTTTCTTCTTACCAGATATCAATATCTGATATCAGTTGGATTGCTTTTTGACGCTAGCACTCCTTTTGTGACCCGCTTTCTCTCTGAACTGCTCTGAAACCTACTCATGAGCTCATGACTTTTCCCCGCCCATATTGGTACATGTCCCTGTCACTGCGGGTATGCCTCCCACACTTTAGCCCTTGTCAAGAACTACCTGTTCATGGTGTTCTCCTGGGTCACACCCTGCACCTCAACGATTAGATAAACGGCCACAGGGCAAGGACGGTATTGGGTTTTATTGTTGCGACTACCATCGCTGGTTCATCGCCGGCTTCAGCGCCGCTGCCGGCAGACGTGACGCATACTGCATCAGTCGCCTTAGATGCTCAGTCGCCACTTTCGGGGTCATAGGAGCTTGCCGAGACTTCGAAGACACGGGTCGACTTCCCACGTGGAAACGGCAAGCTAGTTAAGCGTCACTTGCAGACCACAGATGTGCGCTACGAGCCGGGCGGACTACCTTCAGTATTCACCAAGTATCAGGTGAGAGGGAGGGCTATACGGATTGTCTTCACAGCTGCATCGGGTCAGGGTTTTGGAAAGCGAGCTTCTATACTGGTAAGCCTGACGTGATGGACACGTCAGGAGACAGCGGAAAGGGGACAACCGCAGCATGAAGTTTCGAATGAACAAGATCAGTGGCGAGTGACGAGACCGAATGTCAGGTGGATATCAGGTATGCCTAACATTTCCAGTATATCGATCTTTTTGATGTGGTTTCTGAACTGCTTCGAATCGTCAAGCTCCATTAGCCAAGAGGGAAAGACTCAATCCATTTAGCCGTCCGCAACATGAAAGAGTTAGCTCTCAGTTCACTATGCCATTTGCTCATTTCGAGGTTGTAGCAACGAAAAAATCCTCTCCGCCCAGAAGTCGGTCTAAACGTCGGATATTCAAACGGCTTGTTGCGCAATTCGCCCTTCAGTAGTTTGAACGCTAAAATTAAATCAGATTGAATACGCCTACAAATAAAGTCTTCTCGAATTAAGTTTTTTTCAATCGGGTTCAGTACGATGGTGAAGCTCGCGGATAGTCGTTGTTCGGAAAGACTTTGTAGAAAGATATCCTTGTAAACGTTTTCTGAACTTTTTTCAATTGTTTGAATATCGCTGCTCACTCACTTCCACACACTTTTCCCGGTCTCCAAGCTTTTATAGGAGGGAACTACGAGTTTTCTTGCTTGGCCCCGCCACAACGTGTGCCTAGCATTTCTCAACCACGGCCCTTCGCTGTCCTTAATCAACATTTTTTTCCAGTGTCACGGTGCTCAGAAACCGTTTACGGACTTTTTAGCTGGCTCCGCCCACTTTGGCACAGCCCACTACGTGCATCTCTCACATACCTGCTGATTGCTCACTTTCACTCATTTTCCCCGGTCTCCAAGCTTTTATAAGACGTAACCGCGGATATGGAGTTTGGTTCCACATACTTCTACGCAGGCCCCGCCCACATGTCCCACACTTTACAATCAGCGACCCCTCTTTGACCTCGTTCAACTTTTCCGGGCTCTGGTGTGCTTTGCGACCGAGCTGCAACTTTTTGAAATGAGTACCCTTTGATTAGAGGCAAACTCCGTCCGCGGTGGGTGTGTCTCGGTGAGGGTCAAGCATCACGTCGCGGGAACTTTAGGGGTTGGTACGATCCCCTCCCCACCCAGAAAGGGATTCCGTACGCAATCCCTCTTCCATGTGACTGTGGAGTAAGTGAAGGTCCCTGCTGTCAGGGTGTAGCTGTACATATATTATGTGTTCTGCGAGTTTTACCGAATGAGTGGAGCATGGAACATTTGCCAGAGCAATTGAACAAAAGCTCTGAAGACCAGAGATTAGTCCCAAGAAATCGTGTAATGCACGAAGTGGAATTTCGAAAAACCTAACAATGATGCCGCCCTAACGAAACAGCACAAAACTGAGACACTGAGCGCACTGTGGCTCCGCGCGATTGAGATTAGAGCGCTATCGGCTTGCTGCCTACGCATAGTATTTTTCAAAGGGTTATATTCTTTGAAGCTATTTTGTTATGATAACTGCTAACGCCGCAGTACGCGTTCCGAATGTTATCACAAGAATGCTGAGTTGTGGGCAAAAGTCGTGCCCCAGGCGGGAGTCGAACCCGCACCTCACGCTTTCCGGGCGAGTGCGCTGCCATTACGCCACCAGGGCCTCTTGACACTTGCATACAGTCAGAATTAATAATTACTTGTGAATCTTGCTCGAAATGGCTCTTCACCAGAATTTAGCTCGAAGGGCCAATTTTATACAGCACTCGCAATACAAACAAAACTTACTTAATTTTGTTTGAGGTGGCTCTTCACGAAAATTTAGCTCGAAGAGCCCTTCACCGATATTTTCTACACACTTATAACTTCATTATAAAACTATATTTCGCAGAGCGGTAAGAACAGTTCGAGTTTATGGCCAGGTTTTATACGAAATACACTACACGTTTCAATGAGCTTGCATGGCTTCTGACCTGAAATAACGCGGAGAATTTAGGGCGACGGCGAACTCTTCTCTTTTCAATGAAAGTAAGTTCGTTCAGTCACAGCGTAGGCTTGAGCTTACGTGGCATTGGTAGCTAGAAGATTGTTCCTTCGGACGAGCGCAACAATTTCGCTGTAGTTCAATTATAGCAAAAATTCGCCCGTTGCGGGAAATCACAGAAATAAAGCGGAGAGTTTGAGGCGAACGCGAGTTTTTTACCTTCTAAAGGCAACAACTTCCTTATGACATTATGAAAAACGGAGGCCTACAGAGCATTGGGGAGCAGAAGATCTTTTCTTTTAATGAGCGCAACATCTTTGCTGTAGCTCAACTATAGCAAAAATTTGCCCGCCACGGATTTCCATTTGAAGGAAAGCTACAGCTGGGGCATGAAGATCTCTCCCTGCAAAGCCCATGTTTCCATCTAGAAAGCTCGATAGGTCTGCAGTACACCTGCTCTTCGTGTACCGAATAGGAACTGCAGCACATATGTGCTGATCTTTCTGATTTTCAGTACTCGTTTCAAAAATACTCAAAGAAGCACCATTCTATTCACCAGGATTCGGAAGCCGAATAGCTACTTCCGTGCTTAATGCTTACTAGACAGGATACGTTTTGAAAAATCGCAATTTTATCCAACGCTTGCAGTACAGTCAAAAATCGGCAATTTTTCGCGACACATGCCGCTTTGCAGGTGGCAAACGTGCTCACGATCAGTT